GAATTTTGTGTCTACATTTTGGTCTCGGTTTGCTTTCTCTTTTGCCTACCTATATGTGCTTTTTCTTTTACCTTATTGTGTTCATAATTTGCTATTAGTTCTAGCAAATTTCTTTAGAGTTAGGTTTCCATTGTGTACTTAAGTTTTCAATTCACTTTCCATTGAAAAAAATTCTTAAAAAAAAATTTGTTACTCAAAATCTCAAGTGTAATCCTACTTCTAGTGCACTAATTTTGTGGATTCAAATTTTAAATAAAAAAAAAAGTAGTTAAGAGGCTGAAAACAGAGGAAAATACAGAGCCTAAGTTTTAAAAGTTCAAAAGAAAAGAGTACAAAAGGAATCCAACACAAAACCTAAAAACTAGTGCACTAGTTTCATCATTCTCACTTGAATTTTGGTTAACTTGTAGTCTCGGTTTCTATAGCTTGGAATCATAAAAAAAAAATTGAAACAAAAGGCAAATACCTTCTCTGGAATCTTAATTTGAATATAGAAAAAGAAAGAATTAAAAAAAATAGATAAAGCAATTTAAATTGAAAAAGTCGAGAGGTGTACATTGGCAAAAAAATACTTTGATTCCTTAGCTTGTTTTGACTACTATTTGGTTTATACTTATCCAATTGCTTTCAAAAAAATTTTGTATTGTTCATCGACTCTAGTACCTATCTAGGAACCTTCCTAACTGAGTGCTAGCTTTATTTGGAGTCTTAATTTTCAGTTTTACTTGTTGAACCTCTTTGAGTCTTGTCATATACATATATTACTTTTCACTTTTGGTATAAGCTTTTTAAGTTGTGCTTTTGTTGCTTGTCTTGTTTTCTTTCATTAAATTCCCTGTGCTGGAAGTGGCCTCAAATCCTTGCTTAAGGATCAAGCATTGACTCAACAAAGAGTAGGAAAGTTTTGGACACTAATACCACAAAATTTGACCTAATTTAGTGACCAAACTTTTCCTAAACTTCCTTCACTTAAGTGACCATTCCTTTCACCTTGTGAGCAGCCTCCATTAATATCTTTTGTTGTGTTTATTGTGCAGGTCCAGGAGCATCATTATTCAGGGGTTAGTGGCGGATTAAGACATTCACACAAGTGTTAGACATTGGACAACAAAATCCGTCACTAACTTGGTCACCAAAGTTACCATTTATTGCTTTCTAGGCTAGTTTAAATTTTGCAATCTCTTTTGTATTTTTAAACCAATTTGTAAAGCTTGGAGGGAGTATTAAGAAGCTGGTCAGGTATATCTAACTCCTTGATAGCCTTCTCACGTGTAGTACTAGTGGAAGTGGATTGTAAATTTCATATGTTTCAAGCTTCCACTTAGGGTATACGACTAGCTACTTATCCTTGCTTCCTTTAAGTTTCTTGTCCTTAATTATTCTACTTTGCTGCCTTGAAACGTCTAGAATTGTGTAGTTTTAATTGCTCACGCTTAGTTTCAAAAACAAACAAATTGTGAAAAGTTTTGGGGAATCAAAGATACCACAAAGGAGTTTAGTGATTTCCACTTGAAAAGGCTTGGTTATTAAATGGCTCTTAGTAGCTCACCTCTCTTGATAGTGCAACTTGTACACTTAGAATTCCAAGTGCTATTTTTGTTCCTAGAAAAGTTCAAAAACATTTTATAACTTTTTGCATAGCATATAAATTCTCATTGCTTAATCATTAGTCATATTTCTCAAAGTAGTAGTGACTATGAATCTCTTAAAAGTTTTAAAAAATTGTTAAGGAGGTTGAAGTACTAAAACTTTGGAAGCAACAAGAGGTACTTCAAAATAAAAAAGAAAAGATTGAAAGAGAAGTACAACTTATTGCTTTAGAGGAAGAGATAAGCAAGATTAAGCAAAGAGAAGAGAAACTTTTGAAAAAAATTCATAAAAGCAAAAGTCAAAAAAATTCATCCAAAAGTTCAACTAAGAGTTCTAATGACTCCCCTAGCCAAAATGAGGATAGCCTAAACCTTGATGCATATTACCAACCTCATCCTAGAAGAGTCATTAAGGAACCCAAAGTGAGTGAATCAAGGGTTGATCTCCCTTACTTTCATGGAAATGAGGATGTGGATGCCTACTTGGATTGGGAGATGAAAGTGGAGCAAATCTTCACTTGTCATCAAGTAGGTGAGGAAAGAAAAGTTCCCTTAGCCACCTTAGCTTTCTAAGGACAAGCTATGTATTGGTGGACATCCTTGGAGAGAGAGAGAAGACTTCACAATGACCCTCGAATCACTTATTGGAATGAGTTGAGGAGTGCTATGAGAAGAAGGAACATACCTTCTTATTATAGTAGGGAGCTTATGGATAAGCTCCAAAGACTCCAACAAAAGAACATGAGTGTGGAGGAGTATAGAAAGAAAATGGAGTTGTATCTCATGAGGGCTAGGATAAGGGAAGAAGAAAAATTAACCATTGCTAGATTTCTAAGTGGTCTCAATTTTGATATAAGAGATAAGGTTAAGTTACTCCCTTATAGGGACCTTGATGATTTGGTCCAACTTTGTATAATGATGGAACAACAAAATTTAAGGAAAAATTCTTTCAAAGGCAAAACTCAATCTAGCTCTTATATCAAGAAAGATTACAATAGGGAGGGTCAATATGATTCCTCTAAGAAATTTGGCAAAGGTCTTGAAAAAGAAAAAGAAAATGAAAAAGAGAAAAATAAAAATGTTGTCACTTCTAGTGGTAAGACTAGTGACATCAAATGCTTTAAATGTCTTGGGAGAGGCCATATAGTTTCTCAATGCCCCACGAAAAAGGTGATGATCTTAAGAGGGTAAGACGTTTATAGTAGTGTTGATGAATCTAGTTCCACTACTTCAAGTGATAGTGAATCAAGTGAGGAAGACCATTCCATTGAAAGTGCATATCCTTGTGATGGTCAACTTCTCATGATTAGAAGGCTTCTAGGAAGCCAACCTAATGAGTCCCATCTTTCACAAAGGGAGAACATTTTTCACACAAGGTGTAAAGTTTTAGACAATGCTTGTTCTCTCATTGTAGATAGTGGGTCTTGTTGCAACTGTTGTAGCACAAGGTTGGTGGAGAAGCTTGGTCTTACTATTATTCCTCATCCGAAACCATATCAACTTCATTGGATTAATGAAGATGGGGATATCATTGTTGATAAACAAGTGAAAGTCAAGTTCTCTATTGGTAACTATGAAGATCAAGTGGTTTGTGACATAGTTCCAATGGAAGCTTGCCATATTTTGTTGGGAAGGCCATGGCAATTTGACAAGAAAAACCATGCATAATGGCCTTACCAATGAAATCACTTTCACTCATAAAGAAAAGAAGTTTGTACTTCATCCTTTGTCTCCTTCACAAGTGATAGAGGATCAAGTACAAATGAAAATGAAAAAAGAAGAAGAAAAAGAAAACATGTTTAAAAAAAAGAAGGAAAAGAAGCATAAGTCTTCAAAGAAGAACAAGGAAGAGAAACCTCTTCCAATAGAAGGAATTCAACAAGAAACTTTAAAACAAACCTTAATTGTTGAAAAGCCTTCTTACATTCTTCTTTGTAGAGGTATGTTTCATTGTCATAATTTAAGTATTGAGCCTAGTTCTTTACCTCTTGAAGTTTCTAAATTGTTAAAAGAATTTGATGATATATTCCCTAGTGATGGTCCAAAGGGCCTTCCTCCTTTTAAGGGTATAGAACATCAAATTGATTTTGTGCTTGGGGCTAGTCTACCCAATAGACCAGCCTATAGGACAAATCCCCAAGAAACTAAGGAGATAGAGAACCAAGTTCAAGAATTATTGGATAAGGGGTGGGTGCAAAAGAGTTTGAGTCCCTGTGCTGTGCCTGTATTGTTAGTGCCCAAGAAAGATGGAAAATGGAGAATGTGTAGTGATTGTAGGGCTATTAACAATATCACAATCAAGTACAGGCATCCAATCCCTAGACTTGATGATATGCTTGATGAATTACATGGTGCTATTATAATTTCTAAAATTGATCTTAAAAGTGGTTATCACCAAATAAGAATCAAAGAGGGTGATGAGTGGAAAACTGCTTTTAAGACCAAATTTGGATTATATGGGTGGCTTGTTATGCCTTTTGGTTTAACTAATGCACCAAGTACATTCATGAGGCTTATGAATCATGTCTTGAGAGAGTGTATAGGTAAATTTGTTGTTGTATATTTTGATGACATCTTAATCTATGGTAGGTCTCAAGATGATCACATAAGACATCTTAGAGAAGTTTTGATGATCCTTAGGCAAAACCACTTGTTTGCAAATTTTGAAAAATGTACTTTTTGTGTAGATCATGTGGTTTTCCTAGGGTTCATTGTAAGCAAAGAGGGGGTTCGTGTGGACCCCGAGAAAATCAAAGCCATTGAAGAGTGGCCAAAGCCTAAAAATGTTAGTGAAGTGAGGAGTTTTCATGGACTTGCAAGTTTTATAGAAGATTTGTTCCTAACTTCTCTAGCATTGCTTCACTATTTAATGAGCTTGTCAAAAAAGATGTGTTATTTGAATGGACTACAAAGCATGACCAAGCATTTCAACTTCTTAAGGATCAACTTACTAATGCACATATTTTAGCTTTACCAAATTTTGAAAAGACTTTTAAGCTAGAATGTGATGCATTGCTCAATGCACAAAGCACACACACAAGTACAAATATAACAATTCATTTATAACACTCTATTTCCTAAACACTATTACATAGCTATACTTCAAAGCATTTTTCTTGACTCTTCCTTGACTTTGTTTTTGTGTTCAATGTTGTTGTTGTACACACTTGTTGTCTCCAAGTTGTTGTGATCATCAAAACTCTTTTAGTCTTCAGCTCTCCTAAGCTCAACAACACCTTGGTCAAATTCAAAGCCATGCAACACAAATCCTACATAGCTAATTACAAACTCAAATTGAAATATTTCCTAGTACGAATAAATCAGCGTTGAGATCGAGCACCACCAAAAAGAAATAAAAAAAAGTACAAAGTGCACGAGTTTGAAAAACAAAAAGAAAAGGCACTTGGAGAATGATAAAGTATTCATTATAAAATAATTCGATAAAGGCTACACAACTTAGACAAAAAAGCAGAAAAAAGGACAAAAGACAAAACAAGCACAAAAGAAAAAAGCCTATAAAAAATAAATAGAGAAATATGTAGAAACTTTATTTGCTTGTGCTATCAAATAGGTCATCCTCATTCACCAACTTCAACTTGCCTTATCGGACGTCTTTGTCAATGTCCAAAGCCGAGATGTAGATCCCAAGAGCCACTATCAAATAGGTCATCCTCATTCACCAACTTCAACTTGCCTTATCGGACGTCTTTGTCAATGTCCAAAGCCGAGATGTAGATCCCAAGAGCCACCACCTTCATCTGACGAATGGCTTTGAAGAAACCCCTCTTATGCTCAATCATAATTTGGAGTTGAGTGTCCTAAAGCTCTTTAGCCACACCTTTCTTTGTCGTGCTCAATACCTCAGATTCCATCTTCAGGTCAACGGTCTCCTTGGCTTTAACATAAAGAAGATCTTGATTGCTCTTATGCCTCTCCTCGATAGCCTTCAACTTCTCCTCCAAGGCTCTCACCTACTCCTCATAGGAACGAGCTTGAGACCTGGAACCCTCAACTTCCAGCTCTACAGCTTTCACCTTTCCAAGCAGATCTCTGACCTTAGCAACATAGGCCTTATTCGCCTTGGTCATAACAAAGAAAGACTTCTTGGTCTTTTCTAGGTCATTCTTCACCTCTACCATCACTGCCTTGTTCTTCTTGGCCTTTTCAAGCTCTATCACATTCTTCTTCCACTTCCACTTCTAGTGAACCACAATAGAATTGAACCTCTGCATAAAAAACTTGACAAAATCCAGCCCCTCTATTAGGCCAACCTTCTCGATTATGACCTTATCATCAATAAAGGTAGGATCCTCTCGGTAAAAGCTTTCGACAGTGAGATTACGATTCCACAATGAAGTCACGTTAAGGGACATGCTCACATGGTCCAACCTAGCTAGAGGACGACTCGTGTCGAACCTCTGAAATATACATCGTGACTAAAAGGAAGACTTGATACTAGCACTTGGTGGAGGAATAGAGAAAGAGGGACCCTTTGGGTCAGCCTCAACGACCACAACTGCATCAGATGAAATTGGAGTAACAACCTGCTACACAAAAACAACAATAGCGAATGAACCAAGGCAAAAACCAACAATATTACAAGATACTCGCACAAATAAACAACTACATACCTCTTGAACGTGAGGCATAACTGGTGGCACTTCTAGATGATCACCTTCAATGGAGGGATCGGGAGACGAGCTTAGCAGAACTTGGGGGCTAGAGGTGAGGTCTATGGCCTCATGCAAAGCGGAAACCCCAAAAGTCAAGCCCTAATCAGTCTCAGGAGACTTCTTATTCCATTTATGTCGAGGACAAAGACTGCTTTGATCCTCCTCAACATCAAGGATCTCCTACTCCTCGGTGTTGAACTTAGTTTTCAGCTCGCGCCACTTACTATTCCGATATGCTTTTAGAAGTTGATTATCAGTTCTCACTCAATTGTCTTATGTTTCAAAATAGTTCAAGTCTATTTATAAAAGTTCAAACCCAGATAATCGATTATTTTAAAGAATAATCGATTATTTTGTTCTTCAGATTTCTGGAAATCAACCAAGAACAATTTAATCGATTATTTAGCTGGATAATCGATTATTCCAGAGAGTTGTTTCTGAAATAATCGATTATTTTGGCAAATAATCGATTATTACAGCAAGGCATTCCACTTAGCCCATTTGCTGAAATAATCGATTATATTTAACAATAATCGATTATTTTGAGTCAGTTCTTAAAACTTCATTTTAAGTCTCAAAATAATTTTCCAATGTTCTCAACTCATCATCATCTACTCCCTACTTGATTTTAGACAAGATTTGCTCAATGCACAAAGCACACACACAAGTACAAATATAACAATTCATTTATAACACTCTATTTCCTAAACACTATTACATAGCTATACTTCAAAGCATTTTTCTTGACTCTTCCTTGACTTTGTTTTTGTGTTCAATGTTGTTGTTGTACACACTTGTTGTCTCCAAGTTGTTGTGATCATCAAAACTCTTTTAGTCTTCAGCTCTCCTAAGCTCAACAACACCTTGGAAGGAGGAGTTTAAAAGGAGTTCAATCTTCACTTCTTATACTTCTTCTATCAGGTGGACATCCTTGGAGAGAGAGAGAAGACTTCACAATGACCCTCCTATTACTTATTGGAATGAATTGAGGAGTGCTATGAGAAGAAGGCATATACCTTCTTATTATAGTAGGAAGCTTATGGATAAGCTCCAAAGACTCCAACAAAAGAACATGAGTGTGGAGGAGTATAGACAGAAAATGGAGTTGTATATCATGAGGGCTGGGATAAGGGAACAAGAAAGATTGACCATTGCTAGATTTCTAAGTGGTCTCAATTTTGATATATGAGATGGGGTTGACTTACTCCCTTATGGGGACCTTGATGATTTGGTTGAACATTGTATAAGGGTGGAACAACAAAATTTGAGGACTACAAGATGGAGGGTCAACATGACTCTTCTACAAACTCTAGTAAGGGTTAAGAAAAAGAAATAGAAAAGAAAAAAATAAAAATGTTGTCACTTCTAGTAGTAAAACTAGTGACATCAAATGCTTTAAATGTCTTGGAAGAGGCCACATAGCTTCTCAATGTCCAAATAAAAAGGTCATGATTTTGAAAGGACAAGACATTTATAGTAGTCTTGATGAATCTAGTTCTACCACTTCAAGTGATAGTAGTGAGGAAGATCCTCAAATTGAAAAGCTATATCTTGTTGGGTGATCTTCTTATGATCAAAAGGCTTCTTGGAAGCCAAACCTCACAAAATTACAATCAAGATGTTTATTTACAAAAATGATAAAATTTAAGGATAAATTATAATAAAATTAAAACTTAAGGTGTTTATTTGCTAACAAAATAAAATTTAAGGATCAATTGAAATAAACTTAAAATTTGTAATGCCTATTTGTAAAAAGAGTGAAATTTAAGGGATTAAATACTTTTTTCCTAATAATTTCAATAATTGAAATTCTAAAAATTTAATGTATTGGTTGTGTGTAATTTTTGATAATAAAAAAAATTCGAATAAGACACAATTTCATAAGATTAGAATTAATCATGAAAAATCAAATTTAATTAAAAAATTTAGTTAATAAAAAAAGACTTAATTAACTGTATGATCTCCATAAACAACTTCAGTTTGAGGTCGAATACGAACCTCGATACTCTCACCCAAGGTCGAATTCGATGCAAATCCTTGACTTTTGAAACCTCTGGGAAACTGGATTTTAAGATTTTATACCGGTGCCTCGTTCATCGTTCATTTTATTAGTCAGTGTCACATGGTCAATGGATGCTTCTACAAAAAGACAAATTGAATCATACCTGCTCCATATATATATAAGACAGTTTTAGTGTTTTACTAATTGAAAGTTGGCTTTGAGTCCGGGACAACAGCTATTTCATGATTTCAATAAGGAGGCCAGAAGGACACGAGTTGACTTGTCAATTAATCTATAAATGAGTAAATATTAAGTTTAGCTTTAGCTAGCTTGTTCCTTTTTCGGTCAATTGCTCAAACTACTTTGCTTCTATAGCTGATATTGATAAACAAGTATGCCAGAGAAGAGATATCCTTCTTTGTAACTTCCAAGTTATTACATATGTTATATATTAAATACTCTTATCCTCGCGCACGTGGTTAAATCTAAATAGATAATAAACACACAATTTGATCTCAAAAAAGAAATAACTTGAATGACTATTTGGTGAGTTCGTTTTTCGAGATTACAGTTGTCTCCAGTAATTTTTCTTTCATTTCTTGTACCGAATATTCTTTTAAAAAAAGTGAAATTGTACAAAATCACTTAATAACCTAAATCAATCTCTGAAAATCTAAACCCATATATCTCGCATTTGTAATTGTGATCTTTAATCAATATTTGGTCAGTTACTTTATCAAAAACTACATTAAATTGAACTTTTTAGAAAATCAAATTCAGTATTTACTCTAAAAGTTAATATCCTTGTGTTCTTACCGGAATTTGGCCGTAGAGGTGGTCCGTCCAGTAAGATCAGTGAGCCTCCTTCGCTGGTACGCTGGGTGTTCCGAGATGGGGTTGGTACCTGCAAAAGAGACTCCGATGCCAAAGTTAGTGTTTGTGGGAGTATGAATCTCGTATAAGTAATGCACGTACCTTAGTGTGAATTAGGGTTTCTTTGGGCCTTGGGCCTGAGATAAGATATGATAAGATCTTGAGATAAGATATGATAAGATCTTGAGGTAAGATATGATAACATCTTGAGATAAGATATATCATGATCGTAATGTGATATGATATGATATAATTGACGGGCAGATCTGATCTGGGGCAAGATCCTAGGAATCAGGTGTGATTCGTTCAGGTGTCGGGCTGACGTCACGCAACGCGTGTCCGAGGTCACCCTCTTGCATTGCTAATCCGGGCTTGGAGTTAAGATCGGGCTGACGTCGCGCAACACGTGCCCGAGGTCGCCTTATCGCTAACCCGGGCTGGGAGCCCGGGTGCGAAGTACGGTTAGTACACTAGCCCCTCAAGCTCCGAAGGCCGTAGGTCGAGGAGTTAAGACTAAGCTCGCTGGAGGGGAGTGACCTTTCGCGCATGTTTGCCTGTCAAGATGCCATGTGTTGTAACTGTCGCCTTGTTCTCGAGAACGTGCAGGCGGCGTGGTAACAAGATTGTATTTTTATCTGTTTGATGACATGGCCTCTTTGGGCCGATGTGGTATTCCGATGTCCATGTTTCATGACCGAGCTGAGGAACTCGGCAATGATGAGTTTACTGCTTGGTCAGGCTGGTAAACCTTTGATTGAGTCAATGGATTGGTGAGGGACAAGTCGGCAACTTGGCTAGCCAGTACACTAGCCCCCCAAGCACCGAGTGATGTAAGAGCGAAGGGGCTTCTGGGGAGCTCCCAAATTTGTTGTTTGAAGGTTCGAGCTCGACCTTGGTTAAGAAAATATGATCTCAAGGTTCGGACTGGACCTTGGCATATCAAGGTTCAAACTCGACCTTGCTTAAGAAAATATGATTTCAAGGTTCGGACTCGACCTTGGCATATCAAGGTTCGAACTCGACCTTGGTTAAGAAAATGTAGTCTCAAGGTTCAAACTCGACCTTAGGTGAGAGTATCGAGGTTCGTATTCGACCTCGAATTTTAGAACACCTCACTCTTATAAACTTTATTGGCTCAATGAAGGTGAGGAATTGGAGGTAAATCAACAAGTGAAGGTCAAGTTTTCTATAAGGGATTATAAAGACAAAGTTTTATGTGATGTGATCCTTATGGAAGCTTATCATATTTTTCTTGGTAGGCCATGGCAATTTCATATACACACTATACATGATGGCCTCACTAACAAAATATCCTTCACTCATAAAAATAAGGAAATTGTTTTTAACCCTTTAACACCACCCCAAGTGTTTGAGGATCAAAAACAAATGAAAAGAAAAAGAAATAAAGAAAGAAAAGAAGGAAAGAGTATGGATGAAGGGGATTCCACTAAAACCTTTGTGACCAAGGAAAGTTATTTTATTACCAAACAAGCCTTAAAAAGAACTCTCTTTAGTCATAAAAGTTTAGACTCTTATCCTAATGCTGCCACTAATCTTAAAGTTGAGAATGTGGAACAAAATAAATTTCAAACAAAGAATTCTTAACTTCGTGATATAGTGAAGAAGGAGTGGACTATTCCTAGTGTTACTCCTTATACTACTTCCTTGAAGGTGCACAAGGGAGGAAGTATTTCTTTGGATTTAATAAAGCACCCAATTTTTTGTTTACATTGTTTAGTAGATACAACTTATAATAATCTATATTCTATGTTTGATATTATGGGAAGTTCTTTTTTATTTGAACGTAATATGTTTCCTTCCCTACAAGCAAATATAGCTTATATGATTATGAGTATCTAGTAAACAATCAAATCCAAAATTGTTTAGGACGTTTTCTAGTAGTTTTTTCTTTATATTTTAGGAAATGCCTAGGTTACCATTTAGGGTACTTTAGGCAAGATATAGTAATGTCCTTACATTTTTAGGGTTTACTTCTAGGTTATGCTTAGAAGAGGAGCCTATTTCTATTTTTAGGGAGTCTAATTTTGATAGTTTATTTCTTAGGCTAGATAGAAGGACTCCTCTTAGGATTTATGAAAATTTCATCTCTTATCCATTGTATGTTATACATGTAGGTGTTGATTTTTCTTCCATTCATCCTCGAGATTTGAGGAAAAATTCTTTTCAAGAGGGAGGGGATGATGGAATCATGCTTTGGAGTGCAAGAGGTGACATACTCAAAGATCTAAGAGGAGTGGGCTAGACATGGAAGATTGGGTCAGTCAAGGCCCAATGGGCCTTAAGGGCTTGGAAGGCCCAAATCAAGTTTCAACATGGGCCTATCTTGATA